GGATAAAAATCCAAAAAGTTTAAGCAGGGTATGTAAAGTCACGGCTCAGGGAGGTGCCCCTAGTAGGATCATAAAGAGGCGGGGCCGGAGCTCGGACTCGCCCCGCAACCTCAACTAGGTGAGTCAACTAGGTGAGTACAAACACACAGACACACACACACACACAGACACACACCACTCCTAGTGAGGCAGGATCCATTACAAGCTTTAAGCAAGGTATGATAAAGCTCACGGCTCGGGGAGAGTGACCTAGTAGCGATCAGTGAAGAGGCGGGGCCAGGAGCTCGGACTCGACCCCCGCAACCTCAACTAGGTGAGTACACACACAGAGACACACACACACACGACACACACACCACACACAACACACACAAAACACACACACACAGACCACACACACAAACAGGCCTAGTGTCTAATCGACATGTGCCTAGGACAAAATGGTAACTAACATGATATGGGAAGGGCACAGAAGACCGCAGACAGAGTATAGGCTAGGTGGCCAAAGACTAAAAAACCTCGCTCAAGGAGAAAGATCTTGGGATGAGTTAAACCCCGAGCATGTCTCCGGAGGCACACATTAACCAGATAACTGCTGCAGCATATGGGCGCCTGGCAAACCTGATAACAGCGTTCCGATACCTTAGTAAGGAATCGATCAAGATACTGTACACCGTGTACGTCAGGCCCATACTGGAGTATGCAGCACCTTTTTTGGAACCCGCACTTGATAAAGCATGTCAAGAACTAGAGAAAGTGCAAGGTTTGCGACAAGGTTAGTTCCATAGCTAAGGGGAATGTCCTATGAAGAAAGGTTAAGGGAAATAGGCCTGGCGACACTGGAGGACAGGAGGGTCAGGGGAGACATGATAACGACATAAAATATACTGCGTGGAATAGACAAGGTGGACAAAGACAGGAAAGTTCCAGGGAGGGGGCACAGAAACAAGAGGTCACAATTTGGGAAACTGAAGACACAGATGGTTTAGAGAGATATTAGGAAGTATTTCTTCGTCATTTGAGTTGTCAGGCAGTGGAATAGCCCAGAAAGTGACGTAGTGGAGGCAGGAACCATACATAGTTTTAAGACGAGGTTTGATGAAGCTCATGGAGCGGGGAGAGAGAGTGCCCAGTAGCAACCGGTGAAGAGGCGGGGGCCAGGAGCTAAGACTCGACCCCTGCAATCACAAACAGGTGAGTACACACACACACACACACACACACACACACACACACACACACACACACACATACACATAAACAACACATACACATACACATACACGGCCATACCCCGATGAACGCACCGCTTCTCATCCGATCAGCGAAGTTAAGCAACGTTGGGTTTCGTTGGCACCTGGATGGGTGACCGCCTGGGAACACCACATGCTGTTGGTATCAAATTTAATCTGGAGATGAAGTATGGAGGCAGATCCAAAACATAGCCTTAAGAAGAGGTATGATTAGGTTCTAGGAGCGGGGAGATAATGACCTAATAGCGGCTAGAGAAGAGGCAGGGGAGGAGCTGTGAATCGACCCCTGCAACCACTTATTAGGTGAGTACCACGCTCGCAAAAGTTCGCGTTTATATACAGAATAAAGGAGCTACAAGATCCATCCTAGATATGTGGTTTCCCTAACACGCGTTACATTTTTTTCCCACACAGTTTTATTCAACAAGTGTTTAGGTTTGGTTAATTCGCCGGCGCTATTTCCAGTACAAGCAGTCTGCGATTTTTTTTTTTTTCCTACTTCAGGAAGTCACCCTCCCCAGCACTGTCCCCCTTTGGGCGGCGGCGGCGGCGGCTGCTGCTGCTGCTGCTGCTGCTGCGGGCGCGCGCTCTCTGCTGTGCGCTCCTGGCGTGCTGCTCCTGCTGCTGCTGCTGCTGTGCTCTGTGTGCTGTGCTGTGCTGCTCCTGCTGTGCTGCTTGCTCGGCTGCCCCCTGCTGCTGTGCTGGGTCCTGTGGCTGCCCCTGCTGTGTCTGTGCGTGCTGCTGCTCCTGGCTCCTGTGCCCTGCTGTGCTGCTATGTGTGTGCTGTGTTTGCTGCTCCTGCTGTGCTCTGCTGCTCCTACTGCTGTGCTGCGCTGCTGCTCCTGCTGTTGGCTGCTGCTGCTGCTGCTCCTGCTGCTGCTGGCTGCTGCTACTCTGCTGTGCTCCCCTGCTGCTGTGCTGCTGCTCCTGCTGCTCCCCCTGCTGCTGCTGCTGCTGTTGCCCCTGCTGCTGTGCTGCTCCTGCTGCTCTGCTGCTTCTGCTGTCCCCTTGTGTGCCCCTGCTGCTGTGCTGCTGTGCTGCTGCTGCTGTCCCCCTAATGCTGCCCCTGCTGCTCCTGCTGTGCTGTGCTGTGTCTGCTCTGGCTGCTGCCTGTGCGCTGCTGCTGCTGCTGCTGTGCCCCTGGTGCTGTGTTGCGTGCTTGCTGCTGCTCCGCTGTTTCCTGTGTGCGGGCCCTGTGCTGCTGGCTACTTGTGTTTGCTGCCCCTGCTGCTGCTGTGCTGTCCTGCGCTCCTGCTGCCCCTGTCCGCTGTTACTGCTGCTGCCCCGTGTGCTGCGGGCTGCTGCTGTGTGCTGTGCTGCGCTGCTGCTGTGCTGTGCCCCTGCTGTCCTCTCTGCTGCTGTGCTCCTGCTGTGTGCTGCTGCTCCTGTGCTGTGCTGTTTTTTCCTGCTCCCCTGCGCTGCTGTGCTCCTGCTGCTGCTGTGCTATGCTACTGTGCTGCTGTGCTGCTCTCCCCCCTCCTGTGCTGTGCTGCTGCCCCTGCTGCTGTGCCCCTGCTGCTCCTGCTGCTGCTGCTGCTGCTGCTGCTGCCCCTGTCCTGCTGCTGCTGCTGCTACTGTGCTGTGCTGCTGTGCTCCTCCTCCTCTGTGTCCCTTGCTGGCTGCTGCTGTGGCGCTTCCTGCTGCTGCTGTGTACTGCTGTGTGCTGATTTGTGCTGCTGGGCTGTGCTGCTGTCTTTTGCTGTGCTCCTGCTGTGTGCCCCTGCTGCTGCTCCTGCTGCTGCTGCTCCGCTGCTGCTGCTGCTGCGGCTGTGCTGCTCCGCTGCTGCGTGCTGCTGCTGCTGCTGCTGTGCTCCTCCCCCTTTCCCTCCCCTTGCTGTTGCTGTTTGTGCTGCTGTCCCTGTGCGGGTTGCTGTCCTGCTGCTCCTGTGCTGCTGCTGCTGCTGCGCTGCCCTGCTGCTGCTGCTGCTGCG